AAAAAAAAAAAAAAAAAAAAAGAAAAAGTGGAGTAGCGCGACATGCATAGAAGCCGAAGGTAGAGCACACAGAAGGGCGCAAGTGGATGCAGGGACATGTGACAAAATCGTGAAGGGTACTCGCATGTGCGCGATGCAATGGACAAAGGGACATGGAAAAGCGCATGCCAGAGCACGGCGCGGTGGTGAAAAACAGGAAGAGAAGCAGCAGCACAACGCGCGCGGGACTGCGTGAAAACGATTGCACGACAGCATACACAAGTACAAACTACGGCACGTGTACGAGCAAAAAGCACAATCACGGGAAGCGCGCAGGATCAAGCTACAAGGGGAAACAAAGGAGGTGCCATGGGAGAGGATGCTCGAAAAAGTGCGAAACACGTCGGCAATGCAGTGCAAGGTGCGTGAACCACGGGCAGGTGGACACAACCGCGGCGTGCACAGCACACGCGCAGGCACGAAGGCAAGAGGGGGACATGAAACGCTATGCGCAACAAGCGCAGCAGAACAGGAATGGAACCATGGTGCATGCAGGCCGCAGGTGTAGTGGACGCACCAGGAGCACAATCACACGCGGCACGAGCACAGCAACGAGTGCCGCAAAATAGATGGGATCACCAAAAGCGTAAGGTACAATGTGCAGCAGGCAAGAACAGTGCACGAGAACATGAGGCGTGCAGTGCACTTCCCACGGCACTTCACCAAGAACTTCGCGCCGTGCGCCCGGAACGCGCCCCGCGCCTGGTATCAGATGCGCACGGCAGGCGCATGGATAAGATGCACGAAAATGAGCCGACCACGTGCGCCACGCTCACAGTATGCGCAGACTGTGGCCGAATGGCACCATGTGGTCGCCGCGCCCGTCACAGTCGTGTGCGCACGGCGTGCGCATTATGGAACCCTGCGCATGGACCACAAGGCCGCGTTGCGCATAATGTACGTGGCATGAGCACCACCCGGCAGCAGCAGGCCACGCGCGCCACGCGCCCACCACACAGGCAACACGACCGCAGCGCGCACACGCACGATGCGTGCACCGTGTGGACATAAGAGACATGCAGCATGAGATGCTGGCCCAGGTACCGCGGGCTGCGCGCACAAGACAAAGAGTCAGGCCTCATATGCACCGCGAGTAGCGACACCACGGGTGGCACCTGCGCGCAGCGCGCAGTACCTGCTGCAGCATAATGTATGGTCGGCATGCGCGGGCGCGCGCAGGCTGCGCATGCAGGGCTCCAGTTGCCAGGGCGTAGGACGTATTCATGCACACTAGCGTGCCGCATGGACATAACGAGGGGGCACAACAGCGAACAAGCACACAGCACAGCTTCGCTCACCGCAAGGCACAATTGCCGACAGCACCCCAGCGGCTCGGTGACGACCATGAGTGTGCAGTACACCGGGCATCAGCAACAGCCACGAGTTCAGGAATTTATGCATAAGGACCCCTATGTGCACCCTTGCTCCAAAATATTTGAGAGGTGGAACAAGGTGTGTACCCTGTCCCCCTTCAGGGCGCATGTCCCTGTACATGATGTTGCACGGGACCCTGCATCACTATACGCGCTTATGCTATGTTCTATATAAGGTATGTTGTTATTACCGTGTACATATATAGAGTGCCAAAAAAGGGGGATATTAATGCAGCGCCACAATTGTGGGAGTGTTAGGAAAACAAAAACAGAGGACTGTTACATTTTATAAAAATATTTGCCACATGTTGTATGCATGGTAATCATAATGCACTGTTTTTTACATGTAGGATATGAAATAATTGTTCCTTATATGTGTGCAATGTGGGGAGACTTTTCCCCTTTTTTCTTCTTAAAATGGGTTTCTCGCCCACAATATCAATAAATACTTGATCATATGAACAAATAATAACACATAAACACAAACCATATATATTGATAAGACCGCAACGAACATTATCATGTAGA